GCCTGGCTGCTAGCTTGTCTGGCAGCAGTGAGCAAAGTTCTTAGCCTGTGTTTCCTGTGAAGGTCCCTTCATGCCTGTTCAGTGCGATCCAGCCTTATTGTTCCTCTCTTCCCTGCTGCTTTCAGTGGGCAGGGTTCAGCTGAGTCTCAGTTTCCTAACCCTCCAATTGGAGCTGCAGGGGCTGAAGACTTACACATGACCCGGGTGAGCCCCTGCTTAGCTAGTTGTTTCCTGTCTATGGAAGGAAAAGCCAAGGGAAGGTGGCTTCTAACTTGGAGAGGATGCAACAGTCACCTGACCCCACTGCCTGCCACCTGCCTAAGCGACAGAAGGTAGAACCCATCTGTTTGTTCCAATGTGACTGGATCACAAAAAAACAATTAGCAGGTGGGAAATTTGTTTTTCGGGACATACACATAAACCTGCCATTATAGGGAGGATTCTGGTGCTAATTTAGATGCAAATGGAATTGCCCAACTAGAGCTGATTACAGAAAGGTCAGAATGTCTATATGCTCAATTTCACTCCTACGCTACACATTAAGTTGATGTGCTGCCGCGATCGTGGGCACAATGGCTGGGCTTGGTTCTGGCCTTCGCTTTTGAGAGAGTTTTGAATTATAGAAGCGGGATGTGACACATGGTGTCAACTCCTCTCTTCCTTCCCACTCCCTTTTTTAAAGGAAAACAAGTCCTATTTTGTCCTTTTCTGAGAGGCTTGAGATATTAATTTTAAAAATGCATGTCTGGGGCTCATGGCTAAGAGAGAAAGGAGTAGATTGACTGTAAATTCAGTTGCTTCCTGGTCGGAGAACTAATCTGGACTATGCATGCACTTCTTCCAGACTCTGGACATGCTGGGTTGTAGCCTGGGGTGTAGGACTGGTGAGGAGCCTGAGCGGCTGAGGGGGAGGCAGAAAGGCCCGTGGGCTGGTGTGGTTATTCCAGTGCTACTGTGTCGCTTTTCAGATGTTTCTGACTCTAATGCACAGTCCAAAATTTATCTTAGGCATTTGTGTATGTTTGTCTATATTTTTTTGCTGAGTATGTAACAAGGCACATACATAAATATAATATATTACATTACATATATTTTGAACAAAATAGGCACCCGAAAGTTTCACAAAATAGTTCCTACCAAGTGCAATGTACTCTAGTATTTTCTGTTTCAGTCTGGTCTAAACCATGAGTGAACTGATAGACTGATTTCACTATCCACTTTTGGATTTCAGACTCTAGTTTAAAAACACCATTTTGAGGGACTGGTGAAGGCATTGGGCGTGAAGGGGACCCAGGTGAGAGCTAGTGGAGGGGGGAGAAGGTGGGTGAAGAAAGGGATTGATTTCAAAGGGTAGACCAAACTGGTCTTGACAGAGATGAAGTCAAGTCCCTGAGTCAGGGCTCAGGTTCCATTCTAGAACTGGGGCCGAAAAGTGAAGCACAGAAGGGTGCCTCAGCAGATACATTCTTTAGGTTCATGGTTGCATTTATCTTGTCAAGGATAATTATTTGTTTGTGGGAAGGAGTTTTCCTTAGGTTATTGCTGTCCTGATGCCTTAATTTTTTAAAATTTGTTTTTCTAAATAATTTTTTTAATGTTTATTTATTTATGAGACAGAGACAGAACATGAGCAGGGGAGGGGCAGAGAGAGAGAGAGAGAGAGAGAGAGAGAGAGAGAGAGAGAGAGAGAGAAAGACACAGAATGCAAAGCAGGCTCCAGGCTCTGAGCTGTCAGCACAGAGCCCAACACGGGGCTTAAATTCATGAACCGTGAGATCATGACCTGAGCCAAAGCTGGACGCTTAACCGACTGAGACACCCAGGTGCCCCTATGGTTCTGCCTTTAGTAAGAATTAACATTCCTAAGCTTTAGTATCCTTAAATTTTATTACTGTATATTATATGGTAGTAAGGTAGAACCTCATTTACTATTTCTACTAGTATTTGTACCCGAATTTGTAGCTACCTGCAATTCCTTAGAGAACAAGAGAAATAAATACTGACACTCATCTCACTGGTAAGGCAAAAGGTCTTATGTACATCAAGAGCTGATTGTCCTTCGTAATTGGACCATGAAGAGGATGCTACTGTCCTGTTCTACTAATATGTCCTCTTTGGGGCATCAGTGGCCGCTTTGGTTTTGCATTCTGCACGGCAGAGCTGCCTTCCCCTGGGGGTTCATCGTTAGCTTTCAAGTGATCACACTTAGGCTCTGGTCTCATCCTTGTTAAGGAGGTTGCCTATTTGGGGGATTAGAGGAAGATTCTGAAAAGTAAGATAATGGGGCAGGAAAAGATTTTCTGGGATAAAAGTCTTCTGAGGGCTCTGTGAATATGGAGGAGGGAAGAGACAGAGAAGGGAACCAGATTTTCTTGGCTTGGGTATTAGTTTAAGGTGAGTGTGACCTCGATTTATAAAGAGGTTACAACTTGATGCTTAATAGAATTGGGTTTTTAATATTTATACCATGTTATGTAAATGCTGCCCCTCCAAGTGTTTTCTTAAATCCTCTTAGCTTATAAATGACAGCTTTGATTGCTAAGAAAAGAAAAAAAAATAATAAAATCTTTCATTTATCCAGCCTAAGAGTAGTAAACAATAGATGCTTAATGCCCTGCTTTCATGTGAGCCCCCAAAGACTGAGACTTCTGTTCTAAAGGGTTTATTGCTGTGCTTTTGAGCTTATTAAGGTCATGTGTAACTTAAGGGGGGAAAAGCTGATGGTGCATTATTGGTGCAAAGGCAGCTCCTGGAATTGTGCAGGACATGTCAGCTCAGCAGTGCTCAGTAAGGAAGGCTGAAAATACAGTATTGCAGAAATTGCATGCATGCATGGCCCGTTTGAAATGTCTGGTTGTGCGTTTTTCTAGTGATCCAGATCATTAGGGAATTAGACTTCTGCCCAAGTGATTTTGAATTAAGTTTCTGCTAACGGACCCCGAGATTGTGGCAGTGGAATGGGGTGAGCTAATGGAGCTCCACGTTCAGTGGTGGTGTGAATCATTCCCCCATAAGTATACTTGGTGACATCAGTTATTTCATAGGTTTTTATTAAAAATGTCCCCATTCTCTGGGGCCCTCAGAACACATTCGGAGAAGAGGGAAGAATTAAAAATTAAGCTCAACTCTGGCAAATGTAAATCACTAGGACCTTGGGGGCTGTTGTTTATTCAGGAAATGTTATATTCAGTACCTTCTATGTGCCCAACTCTGTACATTGCACTGGAGTAATAAAAAAGACATAGCATGTGTTCCAGGACAGTGTTAAGAGTGCTATGAGCTTGGGACTGGAGAACACCAAAAAAACACAAGGATAGAAGCAGTTTATTTCAGGACCAGGGACAGCCCATGAGAAGCACTCTTCTCAAGGTAATTTATTTGCTGAGTGGTTGAGGCTCACCTGTTTGTTTTGTTATATTTGGGCCACAGAGAGCCCTTTCAAGTTGGTCAGATGACACAGTGGTGTGTGGAATGTTTTGAGGGCTCAGAGCACTGGCGCTGAGCTGGAGGGGGACGGCGTTTGCACTCTGTTGCACGCCGAGCTCATGCCACTCAGGGTTCTGCTGGGCCACTTGTCAACAGATCCTGAGAGGGTGAGTTCAAGTGTACTGTATAGGCATGCCTTGCTTGGAATAAGGAAAATAGACAAAACTGATTTGGCTTTATCTTATCCACTTGGTCTCCTCTGTCTGGAATATAACTAAGGACCAAGAAAATATATGAAAACAGTTTAAGCCTTTATGTACAGATGCATCCACATGGGGCCTATCTATACTCAGATACCAGATTTGCTGATCTGGTTTCTAAACTGATTTTGAAGACAGAACATTACAAGGAGAAGAGTGTATTATAAAAGGAATGACCAACAACAATATCATAAAGTGACAGTTAATACTTTGGAAGAAAGGAAGAAAGAAATGAAAAACTGGAAAAGAGAAAGATGTAACCACTCAAAAAGCATCCCCATCTGTTTAGCGCAGGTGCGTTAGACTCATGGCAGGGGAGATTGCTGAGATTTCTAGGGGATAGAGCTGGAATCTGAAGTTTGGAACTGTTTCCCTCGTGATTTCCATGCATCCCAGTTTGGGTATTTCTGTTCTACAGTCAGTCAGACAATTGATGACCCCTGTTCATCAAGAGATGTTGTACTTTGCTTTTTAGGAAGACAAAGAAATCTATCCGAGTTCTTAAGATATTCCCTATCAAAATGCTTAAAATTAAAATTTGAATGCTTTAAGCACCAAGTCCTCAGCACTTTGAAAAAATTGACTCTTGAGAGTTTTATATTCCCTGAAAGACAGACATTCTACTGCTCGGGATAATCACATCACGTAGAAAATACTAATTTGTATTATAAAAAAAAAAGTCGGTTACTTTATAAGTGGTAAACTCTTATAGCACTTTATAAATAACACTTTACGTATATTATGCAGTTATAAAAATTTGACTTGCAACTTTCCAGGAACATACCTGAACATCTGCATTACTTTGTATCTGTACCTCTTACATATATACGTGCATACACACACCCATCTTCCTGGACAGAAAATGTGTTCTTATGGTTCTAGCTCCTGGTACATAGCAAGTCTAATAAATATTTATTGGATGACTAATGATGAAACAGTTATATTGAGCTTTCTAATTAATCCTTTATTGACCATGTAGATACTTTACATTATCTATCCCCCCCCCCTTTGTGGTTACACACTAAAATCTTTATGGTATTTGAACTGCATTTGATGATTAGAGTTGTCAGAACACTTGAATTGCTTTTTTATGTCCTTGCTTTTCCGTTACTGAATTAAAGGGCGGAAGCAGCATGTGGTATTGTGGGATGTGAATAGGTTATAGGCTTCAGATGAAGCTCTGAAGCGTGTTCTCGTGGTTGGCATGTCCTTGCCTTGATGGGGTCACTACGGTGAGGCCAGGGGCCTTTGGGGAAGCATGTATCACAGCATCGAGAGGATGCTCGCCTGTGCTCACTCTGTCGTTGGTCCCAGGTGACTGTGGAGGAGGTCATGACCACAACTGCATATCTGGACCTTTTCCTGCGTAGTATCTCCGAGCCAGCATTACTCGAGATCTTCCTTCGTTTTATCCTGTTGCACCAGCACGAGAATGTCCACATCCTAGATACTCTCACAAGCCGAATCAACACCCCATTTCGGGTAAGGTGAACCCCAGAGGAAGGGACTTTATAACTCAGAACAAATTTCAGGAGAGTTTGTTTTGGGGATTAATGATGAATATTTTTTCTCTAATCCCCCCTCCCCTGCTGTTTCTTGTAGCTATTATTATTATGACACCATTATGGATTTCATTGACCAGGTTTTAGGTCCGTCCTATCTAGAACACAGATTAGGAATTACTCCCTGGTGCAAAAAATTACTTAAGTGCTCTGATGAAATGATGAAAGCTTACTCTCAAAAGGGTACAATGATTTTATAATTCACCTGTAGGTATCTTCCCTATTTGGCTATTTACCTTTCCTTTTTGGAAATTAGAGATCAAAAGAATTCTTGGTTTTGAATGAACTTCTTAGAAGACTATATTATCATACTCTCAGCACTACTGAAAATGGAACCAAGGAGAATGTTTGCCCCAAAGCCAAGAGACAAGCCCAAAGGAGCTGAGGCATGGGGCTAAACATTCTAGTTGGGGAGCTGGCCAGGGTACCTGCAATTTTCTGTTAGCCCTGTCTTGTAAATAACCAATGTCATATTTGAAAATAACTTGGGAAAATAAATGCCAAGCAGGAGATCGTGTGTGTGTGCGCGCGCGCATGTGTGTGTGTGTATGTGTGTTGGGGAGTTGTAGGAGCACGTTTATGTGGATCTTTAAAAGTTCGAAATAAGAGCACAGGCATTTTGTAGGAGGGTCATTCTGCATTATGGCATCATTCTAGACATAGGCTTTCTTAAATGTTTATTTATTTTTGAGACAGAGAGAGACAGAGCATGAGCAGGGAAGGGGCAGAGAGAGAGGGAGACACAGAATGTGAAGCAGGCTCCAGGCTCTGAGCTGTCAGCACAGAGCCCGACACGGGGCTCGAACTCACGAACTGTGAGATCATGACCTGAGCCAAAGTCGGACGCTTAACTGACTAAGCCACCCAGGCACCCCTAGACATAGGCTTTCTAATCAAATCCTGTAGGAGAACTAAAAGCCTTAACACACATTCTCTCGGGAAGCAGCATGTTTTTATCAAAGCTGCTAAAAAAAGAGGCCATTTTATTTTGTAATTCTGATTTATTTTCCATCTGTGGGGAGTAGAGCTATTCTTCCAATATCTGAAATAGAATGTGTGTTTTTTGCTTCCCAGCTCTGTGTGGTGTCCCTGGCATTGTTTAGAACTCTCATCGGTTTACATTGTGAAGATGTGATGTTACAGCTAGTTCTAAGGTGAGTTGCCCTCTTTTGTTCTCTTTAAAGAAAAACTCAATATGTACTATTGCTATTATATTTTTCTTTGGGTCATATAAGCCATGTAGGAGCCATGCTTCTAAGGGAAAAAATGATCAGGAATATCAATCTAATTTCTGTATCATTTCCCAAGGTTAATTTTAGTTTTCCTATTAAGAGTATTTACGGGGCTAAATACATTGTATTATAAATATGTTCCTGGAAATAACAGATAGGATGTTTGGAAATTTTCAGACTATGAAGGCTTTCCTGTTCTGCGGCTGAATGTCTTTCTCCTGAAGTACACTTTTAGAGGCCTGTGTTACTGGAAACAACTTTTCCAAATATGAAATGCTATTGATATATAATTTTTATGACTCTTGCTTTCCTAATGTTACACCTACAGCATGCTCTCTCTGACCCATAAGTATGTTTCAATTCAATTCAGTAAATATTTAATGAGTACTTTCCGTGTACAGTTCAGAAGAGAGTAGGGCATGGGGTAGAGGGATTGAAAAGGACTTCTAAACAAGGTGGAGCAGGTAGGACCTTCGGAGGGACAGGTGAGAAAGGTTTGGGGAATTGGCTAGTATTTGAAGGCAGGTGTCAGGAGTCAAAGTGAACTGCTGTTAGGATGCTGTTAATGTGGTCATTTGGCAGGGGACTCAGGAACACCTAACCCCGCCTTGGCCCAACTCTGCCTCTCCTGTGGGGGTCCCCAAGGGAAGCATCTGCTTTGTGAAGGGAGAGAGGGGGAGGTGGCTAGGCTTTGTGCTCCCACACTCCCCTCTCGGGGTATGGAAACAAAAAGGAACAAGTCAGCCAGGGTCATCTGGCACGCCTTCCTGCCTCCTCCTTCCTTTGATTCCTTTGAGGACGTTCTGACCCTTTGTGTGACCTCCTCCTTGGGAATAGCGGGAGAAGAAGCCTAGGACAGGGGAAGAGGAGGAGACTTGGACCACCTCTGGTCACCAGTGGGGTTTTGATACAACGTGAGTAGAATTACGAGAAGAGGACATTCCAAGTGGCTGCGTTAGCATTTCCAGCGTGGTAGCTGTGGACAAGTAAGGGCGTGGCGAAGTGGTCAGGGAACAAGAGGCTTCACCCAGGAACAGGTTAGAAATGCAGATTCTTGGTCTTTTCCCAGATGTGCTGACTCAGGGGGTGGGTGGGGCCTGGCAAGCTATGTTCTAACTAACTCTCCAGGGGATTCTGATGCATGGCTGATTTTGAGAACCAGTGGTCACTGGTTTATCTGCAAATGGGAGCGATAAAAAAACCAAAACCAAACCCAGGCTGGAAGAGGTGGGATGGTGACATCATGGTGGAGGCCTCACAGAGTTATCATTTCGTGGGGAAGTAGATCACTTATTAATTTTCTTACTTTAAAAAGAGTTTTTGGACTTTCTAGAGGTTTAGATTAGGTCATCAGTCACTAATCTTAAGGCACTGGCAAAGAACAAATCTGATCACGAAGAGAGAGCCTGGGTAGTCTGGCTAGAATATTTTGAGTAGAACATCCCATCCTAAAAGGATTGCTTCAGCCTCCCGTTAGGTGTCTGCTGACGTGACAGATGCATTAGCAAGGCCTGAACGGAATCCCTCAGAGCAGCTTGTTAAAGCCTTTCTTACTGCCCCAAACCACACTTTGCTTCCCACCACGGTAAAACCTGATTATATTTAAGTGTCAAATTCCTAAAGGCTGCTTTGCTGGGGGCATGAAACGCAGCTGTCTTTTTCAGCCTCCCTGGAAGCCTGGCCCTGCTGGGGATGTGCAGAGCCTTTCCCCTCTGAGCCACCTCATCACATGTGGCCCAGCTGGGGACAACTCCTCCATCACCTTTGGTCTACGCGGGATGCGGTGCGGTGCTCGTTGTGCTAAACACAGCCCTCAGAGATCGTGTTAGCTGCTTTTGAGACCCAGTCACGTGCCATGTGAAGGGGGAGAAATTGGCTCATGGTTGAGATATTTCCATATCCAAGTCAGGGCTAATCGTTTCCCAGCAAAGTGCCTGAAGGGCACACGTCGAAGATTCTGAATAGGGTGATGGAAGCCAAATCCCACGTAACTACCTGGTCTTAGGCTCTCTGAGCCCAAGCATTTTCCTTGTTTCTTTAATGAGGATGATGGCGATAATACAATAATGATAGTTGCCCTTTATGTAATATTTTCTTTTTCTTTTTTTTCAGAGAGAGAGAGAGTGTGAGAGGGGCAGCAGGGGGTGGGGGAGGGAGAGGGAGAGAGAGGGAGAGAAGGAGAGAGGGAAGCCCCCAAGTGGGCTTCATGCTCAGTGTGGAGCTTGGACGTGGGGCTTGATCCTATGACCCTGGGACCATGACCTGAGTGAAAATCAAGAGTTAGACGCTCAGTGGAATGAGCCACCCAGGCGCCCCAATTTATTTCGAATTCTACCTCATTGCCTGGGGGAATCCATGAGCAAATGGAGAATATACACGGAAGTCAGGTACGCAGCAGACTCGCGGGAACCCTCAGCTTCCTGGTCTCCGCCCTCTGAACTGCCAGGTCCCCCCCCCCCCCATTTTAAATTATATTTGTCATAACATACACAGAACATAAAATTTGCCATCGCAACCATACAGTTCAATGAATGGTATTAAATACATTCACATTGTGGTGCAGCCATTGCTGCTATCCAGCTCCAGAAATGTTTCCACCTTGCAACAGGAACACTGTGTCCCGCTAAACACTAATTCACCATGTCTCCCTCCTCCGGCCTCAGGATGCCACTCTCCTACTTTCTGACTCTCTGAATTTGACTACTCTCTAGATACCTCCCTTAGGTGGAATCATACCCTTTTTTGGTGCCTGAACTTTATCACTTTTCATTTTGTCTTCATGTTGTTGCATGTGTCAGGATTTCCTTCCTTTTTAGGACTGAATAATATCCCACTGTTTATATATACCACATTGTGTTTCTCCATATGTCTGGTGATGGACGTTTTGGGTTGCTTCTGCTTTTTGGCTGTTGTGAATAATGCTTCTAGGAGCATAGGAGTACATATACCTCTCTTCAACACCCTGCTTTCAATTCTTGTGGGTGATATACCCAGAAGTGGGATGGCTGGATCACATGGTAACTCTATTTTAAGTTTTTTACTGTTTTGCATAATAACTGCACCATTTTACATGCCCACCAACAGCGCACGAGGGCTCCAGTTTCTCCACATCCTTGCCAACACTTGTTATTTTCTGTTAAAGAAATGGTGTTTTTGTGATCATGCAAAAATGAGAGACAGATTTCAAGAACCAGTCAGAACTCTTAGAAGTAAAAGCTGTAATTATTACAATGAAAAATCAGGGGTTTGGGTAAATAGCATGTGGGGCACAGATTAAGAGAGAAAGAATTAGTGAACTAGGAGATAGAATGGAAGAAGTTACTACATTTGCAGCAGAAAGAGGTAAAGAGATTAAAATTATGAAAACAAGGCTGTGAATGACGGTGGTTAAATTGATAAAGTGTAACAGATCCCATTAGAAGGAGAGTGAACTGCTGACTTGACCTATTCTATTTTTGGAATTTCTAGCTCATACTAAGATGTTTGGGAGAATCAAGTGTGGGGCTATCTGAAAAGTGTTTTTGAAACGCTGTAACATACTACACAAATTGAAGGGAGGAGAATTTCCTGGAAAATACATCCTAAACTAATGAAAACGTTGTCTTTTCTGATTTAGAATCTGTACAAAAGCAAAGACAATGCAAAATCCTTATTCTTCTAGTCATTTAAACTTTATCTTCAGGGACATAAAACCCAGATTTATAATCTGTCCTTTTTGTTATTGCCGCTATAGTGGTTCGAACGCACATGATAAACGTGTGGGGCTGAGAGGCAGTAGAGCAGTCGAGATTATGTGAGTCCACTGAATTGAACTTATTTGTTATGTGATAAATAATAACTATATGTCCATTTTTGTTGCAATCCAAATACTACTAAATACTGATATTGCAAAGTGATAATCCATTCATAAGTGATATATTTCTTATGGTTAGCATAATAATCAGGAGCCATAACTTGAAATAAGGTACCTCCAAAAGAGAGGCTATTTTAGTGAGCAGAAAACCAAGGAGAAACTGTCCGCCTGCATGGATGTGACATAGAATAGGCCAGAGGCAGGCAGGAAATGCTGATAAGCAGTGAGGTGACAGATCACCCCCATATTCCTGGCACTTGCCAGTTTAGGCAAAATTTAATTGCTTACTACCCTGAATGCCGTTTCTGAATATTTTTCCGGAAGTGCTGGTCCATCGTCAGGTTCTTGAATTGCGTTGCCTCTTGTGTTCAGTTAGAGGATGTTTTGCTCGGAGAGCAAAGTGCATTGCTGTGTGTCCACTTCAGGAACATTTCCATCCTGCATGGGAGCTAGGTGTCTGGAGGAGAGCAAGGGGAAAAAAAAGGCAAGCCAGCCTAGGGGAAGATGGCTAGGAAAAGTACAGTCAGAATGTCTTTGGAAAACAATCTTTTTGAAATTTACTGATGTTGCTTTGTAGATTTTTGCCTCTCGGTGCGTTATTGAGGTTCTTGTCATCTCATAGAAACACCTTACCTACTTCATTGTACTGCTTTGTTTCGCTCGTGTTGTCAGTGTAGCAGTAGGCAATGTGTGCGCTTTGTTATTGATTGGCTGTCACTGAACTGTTTCAGACGCAACGATGCTTCACTTCAATGAGTGAGAGCCAGGGAGAGGGACAGTGGGCCAAGGGGTGCGAAGGGTTGGGGAAATAACGAAAAAAAGAGAGGACAATATGGACGATATCATTTTTTCCCCCTGCTGTGTCGTAGGACGGCTTTGAGTAATCTGGATCTCTAAAATCAGATATTTCTTAGTTTCTGGTTATTTTTACTGCTTTTGAATTTAAATAAAAGCCTCCAGACAAAGTATGTGTAGTATAAATGAAAAGATGGTTTGAGGACAAATTCTGGAGTGATTTTTCTCTTATCGACAGCCACTTCATTTTGATATTTGACATTAGGGCAGCTTCTGACATTCATTCTGTTCCTAATCTTTCCCTGTAAGGGATGGGAAGACAGGGTCAACGCATGGTTTTCCCACTCTTCCCTCTGGGATGATCCTTCATTTCAGAGGTGCTGTGGAAGCACTGTGAATACGAGGGAGGGGTTATTTATGTGAACTCACTCCCCATTTCCAATTTTTTTTTTAACTTTCTTTATTTTGAGAACGCACAGCGGGGAGGGGCAGAGAGAGAGGGAGAGAGAGAGAATCCCAAGCAGGCTCTGGGCTGTCAGCACAGAGCCCAAAGCAGAGCTCAGACTCATGTCCTGTGAGATCATGGCCTGAGCTGAAATCGGGAGTCAGACACTTCACTGACTGAGCCACCCAGCCCCCCCCCCCTTTTCGATTTGATAAAACCTCTGCTTCAGCCTATAGGGAATCTGTTTATTTGATTTACTCAGAAGAAAATTCTTAGTTTCTGCTGAAAATATGTGTTTGCAAAGTTGCAAATTCCCAATTACTCTTTATTCTAATATAATTTCCAGCTACCCACTGGTGATATTTGATAAATAGCTTTATTAGGTTTGATCCACTGTTCCATTTCTAAAAAATACTTCAAACAAAGAGCAGAAATCTATGTATATCAACTTAAATCATGAAATATGCTTGGTTGGAGCTGTAAGCAGTCATCAAGTTCCTGCAGTGTATCAAAGCATTGAAGCAGTTTCTTTCTTAAATAATTAATGATCAAAATAAGGAGATAATAAATCCTATGTGATATGAGTTTCCCTAGGCCTCACCAGCCAGTGAGATGAGAACAGTCCATCTCAACAACCACACGATGTTTTCCTGGGTCTTCTGGCCTTCACCTGTCAACTAAGAACTTGGCCTTAGGGAGGGGTCTTAACCCATGGTCACAAGCAAGTGTGTCCACCACCATAGTTGCCACAGCAGTGCCTGGTGAGGCCCCTTTGGTTGGTGCCGTCTCCCTCTGCCCCTGTCTGGTCCCCACCTGAGAGCGCAGAGGTGCTGAGGTGCTGGCCCAGCACTGCCTTCCCTTGTGCCCTCAGGGTCAGAGCTGTGCCCTGTAGACAGAGGGACAGAGCTGTGCTCCCTGTGTAGACAAGTGGGAGAAAGCCTCTCTCCTCTGCATCATTGTCTGTCACCAAAGCATCTCTGCTCACAGAGATCCTTGTGAAAAGACCTCCTTCATTTTGCTACCTACAGCTTCTTTTTTAAAATGTTTGTTTATTTTTGAGAGAGACAGAGAGACACAGAGAGAGAGAGAGAGAGAGAGAGAGAGACAGAGGAAATACGAAGCAGGCTCCAGGCTCTGAGCTGTCAGCACAGAGCCTGACACAGGGCTCGAACTCACAAACTGTGAGATGATGACCTGAGATGAAGTCAGAAGCTTAACTGACTGAGCCATCCTGGTGCCTCAACCTACAACTTCTGTTTCTTCTCCGCTAGTGCTCGGATCAAGACCCCAGAGCTGGGCCAAGAATTAGAACAGACCTGTCACCTTGCCCATATTGTCCTCCTCTCTTTCCTTTTTGTTTTTATGACCTTTGATATTCATACACTCGAATTTATGAAAGTCGATGCCACCACATCAGACCTGCGGGGAATGTCTGGATCTCAGTGATTCCAAGTTTAGGCTTCAGGAGTGTGTGGATTATATGCCCGTGGGTGTGGGGGAGAAGAGACTAGGAGCCTCTGGCAGAGTACTTGAAGAATGGTGTGGTGGTTCTTTTGGGAATGGGAGGGCTAAGTGGCAAACTTGTTTCACACTGTGAAAGTTATTAAGATCTTTCATGTAAAGCACCATGAAAAGAATTCAGTCTTTTTTCCTCCTTGACTCAGGCTCTTGCCGTTGGTCAGTCATTGATGTAAACGTACCTTCCTCATTTGGATCAACAGGAAGTGGGAGACACAGCTTAGTTGTTCTCAGGCCTCCAGACACACCCTGAAAGTTGTACTTCTATCTTTTTCACCGAATCCTTCATCATAGCTTGTTTTCTTCTGTACTGTCTCTTTCTCAAAAGCAAAAAACAGAAACAAAAACATTCTGGTTTATTGAAGATCATGGCTCAGGTCTTCGGGAATTGGCCCCTGTGTACGAGTGACACTTGGCTCTGGCTCTGGAATGCTGCCTCCATCCCGTTTTTTTCCGTCTTTGTTTAAAGGAACAGTATTATTGCCCCCCCCCCCCCCCCCCCGTTAAGAGTGTCAACCATTTAAATAAACTTTATTCCACCTGTGAAGCCCGTGGATGTGCTCCCAGAGTGTCAGAACTGATTGCCCAGATTTTCTTATCTCTAGGTTCATAGTGATACTCAGGTATTTTTGATCACCCACGGAAAGCATTTTGTGTGCAGTGGGGCCTAGTGTTCCTTGGTGAGGCCTTGGCCACTGTGAAGTTGTGATTTATAAAAGAAATACATATTTGGTCCCTGTCCTGTCCTGTGTCTGGCACAGACCTCCTAAAACCCTTGGAATTTCCTACATGCTGAGAAGAACAAAGATGTGTTTGTTATGTTGATAAGGCCACTCCATGACCCAAACCTGGGGATGGAGGCTGGTTGCCAGGAGACCCAACCATGTGATTAGACGGTTACTTACAACCTTGGTCCTACTCCCCTGACCTCCCGGGTTAAATCAGTCACCAACAGCCAGTGACTTAATCAACCGTGTCTCTGTAATAGAGCCTCCATAAAAATCCAAAAGGACCGGGTTCAGAAACCTTCCAGGTTGTTGAACACACAGAGATGTGGGGAGATCAATACCCTTGGAGAGAGCATGGAAGGTCTGCGCCCTTCCCCCACACCCTGCCCTATGCATCTCCACCATCTGACTGTTCCCCAGTTATATCCTTTTGTAATAAACTGGTGATCCAGGAAGTAAAATGTTGTTCTGAGTTCGGTGAGCCACTGCAGCGTATTATTTGATATCCAAGGAGGTTGTTGGAACCTCCCATTTATAGCAGGTTGGTCAGAAGCACAGGTGATAACCTTGGCCTGCGATGGTCATCTGAAGTGTGTGTACGTGGGCGACAGTCATGTAAGACTGAACCCTTCACCTGTGGATGCTATCTCCAGGTAGATACGGTCAGAATTGAGTTGAATTGAAGGACACCTTGCTGGTGCCTAGAGCCTTGCTGGCTTGTTGGTGTTGGGACACCCCTTCTCCCTGTCCCCAGCTCCCATGTTGGAACTGGTGACCAGAATACCTTTCGCCGCCATATTTTCTCAGGGTCAACCACGAGAGTACGAGAGGGGGTTTGCACTGTGGAGTGGGTCTTTGCCTTTTCGTGCGGCTGCGGTCATTCGGCATCCACTACGAGCCAGAGTTTCTGGGACTATGAAACCACACTGTTAAAGAAGGCCCCTGCTCTGGTAGCACGTTGTACTGAGTGTCCGAGTGTTCTGAGACGCTGAAATAATTGTGAGTCTAGGTACCCGTGCTTTAGGAGAGGGCGGTGAGTGTAGTGGAGGGCGGGAGTAGCTCTGTCTTGGAGCAGGAAGCCCTGGAAGCCTTCCCAGAGAGGGTGACACTGAAGCTGGACCTTGCAGGATGACAAGACATCGGTGAGGCAGGGAACGGGGAGCACATTCCTAGTGAGGGTTACCGTGGGTGCAGACATGGAGGCAGAGCGATAGCGGACCCGGTGAGAGAGGAGGCAGTTCGTGAAGGTTGCAGCGGGAGGGCCCTCTGCAAGGGGGTGGTTCTGCCAGAAGAAGGAAGCCCTCCGCAGGTTTTACGCAAGCGAGTGAGCCCCGGGGCTGGTAGGATGGCTGGCTCGAGAGTGGGGAGAGGATGCATCATGCGTCCACCTCGGGCCATGACGAGTCCCGATGGGAGTGGATGTGGCAGACACTGAATGCAGCCGTGTTGTCGTTACAGGTATCTGATCCCTTGCAACCACATGATGCTGAGTCAGAGGTGGGCCGTGAAGGAGAGAGACTGTTACTCTGTTTCTGCGGCCAAGCTGCTCGCCCTGACCCCCGTCTGCTGCTCCAGCGGGATCACCCTGACTCTTGGGAACCAGGAGAGGGACTATATTCTCTGGTCAAAGTGTACGCATGATAGTTCAGGTAAAAGGAACTCGCCTAGTGAATAATCTTTAAACAAAAAGGATGCCAGATGCCATTCCTCCAATGGATATGTGTCTCTTTGGGTAGACAGGGAATAATGCAGTGAGCCCCATTTCATTTATGAATGACTCGGGGAGGGTCTTTTCTGCTTCATCTTATAAAATTTTTTTAAATGTTTATTTATTTTAGAGAGAGAGACAGACAGACAGAGCTGGGGAGGGGCAGAGAGAGAGACACACAGAATCCGAAGCAGGCTCCATGCTCCGAGCTGTCAGCACAGAGCCCGATGTGGGGCTCAAACTCACGAACCACGAGGCCATGACCTGAGCCGAAGTTGGATGCTTAACCAACTGAGCCGCCCAGGCACCACCCACCAGACCTTTATTTTGACCAGGCTTTAGTGGCATCCTCAGAGTACATATATGAAAATATGTGCCACCATGTCTTTTTAAACAAAATGGGGGTAGAGATGTGGAGATGGTTGTAGCTAAGATAGAATTAGTCCTTATTCTAATTTGTAAGATGACCCTTTGTGCGTGCTTGCCTGCCAATAATATATCATCATAAAGCTTGAAATTTGTGATGTGGCAACAATATCTGATTCATTTCGTTGACCTACTTAGGTTTTTTTGGGGTTTTTTTTGAGTTTATTTATTTATTTTGATAGAGAAGAGAGTATTCACTCAGGTGGGGGATGGGCAGAGAGAGAGAGAGAGAGAGAATCAATCCCAAGCAGGGTCCATGCTGACAGCACGGGGTGGGAGCCGAGGAGTGTGGGGAAAAGCTTGATCCCAGGAATCATGAGATCATCACCTCAGCCAAAATCAAGAGTCGCAGAGTCAGATGCTTCACTGACTGAGTCACCCAGGTAACTCCGAGGGTTTTATTTGTTTTTAAATAAATACTCTGGTTTTGTTTTGTTGTTGTTTGTTTGTTTTAATAGGAGTTATAGTACTCGTGCTATTTGCCAGTTGCAGTTGATCTTGTACAAGTAAAATTTATTTTTTTATTGAGAGACACGGAGTGTGCAAGCAGCAGGGAGGGGCAGAGGGAGAGAGACTCGTAAGCAGGCTCCACCCTCAGCGTAGAGCCCCACGTGGGGCTCCATCCCAGGACCTGGGATCATGACCTGAGCTGAAATCAAGAGTCAATGCTCGGTTGACTGTGAGTCACCCAGGCCCTGCACAGGTAAAATTTAAATGGTCACCTATATCAACCTTGGCCCTCTGGCAGGCAGCTGAAACAAGGGGGCATTTGTTCATCTTCGGTGGCCAGAAGGCTATTTCAGTTCGGGAACGTTCTGCCTTTCCTGTGACCGCTAGGAAAGAGTCCAACCCTGGTACTGACCCCGGTATTTCCAGTGTGTATTCTGATATCCCCCCAAACAATATCATCCTGTCTATCCAGGCACCATCCTGTTAGATAAAGTATATTTTCTCTAAGAGCTGGGCTACTTGACCAGGAAAATATCAGGGTGTTTGGTGTAGATGTAATTGTTACAAATTAAGGTGGTTGTATTCTTGGTCTTTAAATAAAGATACAGTGATCATGGAAATTAATAATTTACTTGGCAGTACAAGTTATTTTAAATGTATTTTCCTATTAGGTAAACTATTCCAGATATCTTCTATTTTCCTACCAATAGTCATTTTTTAGAACATATTTGACAGCTGATGTCTTTTTTTATTTACTAAGAAAGTTGTTTCAAGAATGATTCTGGGGCTGACCTTGCTGCATAATTCAAAATTTAAATTAAACAAGCGATTGTCGAATGGCTACAACTTGCCACATTCTTTCCCTGTATTCACATTTAATCCTTTGAAGAAAGTAGTATTTCCATTTTACCCAGGAAGAAACATACTCAGAGGAGTTGACTTGTTCAAGGCTACACAGCTGATGGGTCCTCTGATTCCAAATTCCACATTATTTCCACTCTCCCACTCTGGGATCGCCTTACAGTGGAGTGCCCTAATGGATGAACAGTGGCGTAGGTGGGTGGGTAGACAGGTAATGCAATTCATAATTCTGGTCTGGCCTGGTAGAGATTTAGATAATGAAGGGACAGGAAGCTTGCAAAGGTGTGGCATCGAACAAAGTATGAACGGGGGTTGACGTGAGACAGCTTGTGCTTGAGTTGTGCTCTGTCCCTGACTAGTTGGGTGATCTTTTGTCTCTGAGCCTCAGTTTCTTTGCCTGTAAATGGAGAAAATGATATCTGCCATATAGGGCTGTTGGGAGGGGTAGTGTTGAAAAAGCACCTGCCATGTAAGTTCTCCATTTAAGAAATGGTAGAGTTCATCGGGCTCTGTGCTGACACCTTGGAGCCTGGAGCCTGTTTCAGATTCTGCGTCTCCCTGTCTCTCTGCCCCTCCTCCACTCATGCTCTGTCTCTCTGTCTCTCAAAAATAAATAAACATTAAAAAAAAAAAAAGAAGAAGAAAAGAAATGGTAGAGTTCTGGGGCACCTGGGTGGCTCAGTCGGTTAAGCGTCAGATTCTTGATTTTGGCTCAGGTCATGATCTCACGGTTTGTGGGACTGAGCCCCGCATCAGGCTCTGCACTGACAGTGTGGAGCCTTCTTGGGATTCTCTCTCTCTCCCTCTCTCTACCCCTCCTCTGCTCTCTCTCAAAATAAATAAAATAAACTTAAAAAAAAAAAAGAAATGGTGGAGTTCTAGGTCTCCTCTATGATTCTATAACTTCTATGAAGACATTCTGTTCTTAGCTTTCCTTCTTAAAATCTAACCATTTTTTTTACTCAGAAGTTAATTAGAACTAAAGTAGCTGGCGGCACAAAATCTTAGCAGCCAAATGAGTCACATCTGTGTCCACTACCTTTGTCTCCCCACCTGTTGTACGTGTAAGCAGGGGGCTCGTTCTGACTCGTTTCTGCCTCCCGTGGCAGGGGCCGTGGAGCAGCCAGTGCCCCAGGTGTCGTCTCCGTCGGCCTGCATCGTGGAGTACGGCAAAGCCCTGGACATCAGCTACCTGCAGTACCTGTGGGAGGCCCACACCAACATCCTCCGCTGCATGAGGGACTGCCGAGTCTGGTCCGCCCTGTACGACGGAGACTCCCCTGACCCGGAGACGTTTGTCCAGAGTCTGACGGAGGACAGCGCCATCGGCTCCCTCTATCCTGTGTTCAGGCTCCCGCAGCAACTCCCCAGGAAGACGGGCTCTCCGCTGCCTCCAGGAAAGGAGAAGAGCCACACGGAGCTGGAGTGGGATGACAGCTATGACACCGGCATCTCCTCAGGGGCGGACGTGGGCTCCCCCGGGCCTTATGATGATCTGGAGAATTCGGGCCCGCCGGCACCAGTCGACCCCCCCAGACACATCCAGGAGATGAAGAAGAACGCCATCCTGCTCTTCAAAGGGTCCTACATCGAAGAGTCCGACTTCCAGGATGATGTGATGGTGTACCGGCTGTGTGCCGAGAAGGACTCTGAGGACACTAGGAAGGTACAGGCGGAAACCGCCAGCCCTGCAAGCCAAGCCCAGACTGAGGTTCAGGGTCCCGCCCTGAACAACGGCCCCCTGCCCAGCCCTCCGTCAGGCACGGATTCAGAGGAGGAACACGGTAGGGACAATTTAGACCTGTTTCCAAATGCGTCCAAGGGACCGAAACAAGAAGAGGAGCTGGAAATAGCCCCGCAACCGAGCCCGGAGTTAGCGTCTCCCATCTCCGAGGCCGAACACGATTCAAAGCCGACGGTCATTAACCGAGGGGGTGAAGATTTCATCGCCCAGTATGACCAAATCATTAAAGAACTGGATTCGGGCCCTGAGGGCTTGACAGAAGAGAATTTCCCCTCGCCTGCTGTCTTGCATCTCAAGGGAGAGCAAGAGGGGAACGAAGAAGAGAGCAAAGGAGAAAAGGAGGACGAAGAGGAGGAGGCCGGGGAGAAGGCCCTGGAAGAGGAGGACGACTTTGATTCTTTTATAGCAGACGCTCCCACCATCGACGCCGCGCCGTCCCCGTTTGGGGTGAGAGATGAGACTGCCTTTGCCAGTCAGCCTCCCGTGAGGACTCAGAGCACCCCGTTCACAGGTGATGATCTTCGCTCGCTTTCTGATTTCTGCTTTTGTAAGTACTTGGACATATTGTGACGAGGAAGTACGGTAGGTGGAGGCAAGGGGCATTGCCACTTTACCTAACAGAGGGGGGAAAGTGGATTTGTGAAGAGCACAGAGAGATGGTTTCATGTTACCTTGTCATTCTAGCGGTCTTTTTTGGACCCCAGCCAATCAGAGGATGCATTTCACAGCTGGATAACTGCTTCCCTTGATATGTGTTTGATAAAATACTAGGACTGATGAAACCACACAAAAAATCCAGTCTCCGTATTTGATAGCCTCATTTCCCTTAGTCTACTAATTTTTCTCCATGGCATGTGTTTTTGTATAGAAAAAAGGTACGGTTTCCCCCACTAGAATCATAGGCTCCGCGAAGGCACAGGTGTTGGATTTTCTCTGCTCTTTCCCAGCACCTGAACAGAGAACAGAGCACAGGGCAGGTGCTCAGAATAGCTGCTGAATAAAGACAGCTGTATACACACGTCAGAGGCCATTGGAGCTAGGTATGCCTTTGCCCCGGAGCTCATTTCAGGTAATTGCAAAATCTTTACCCAAAAATAAGTAGAGTGGACCCCCATAAACCTGTAACTCTGCCAACGAATGGGTGTGTTCCAGCATATACCCCTAACAACAGGTAGGAACCGAGTAAGAGCCCAAGGGATAGGTTAGGATATCAGACGCGTGGATTGGGGTGAGGAGTTATGATAGAAAACATCATTAAATATTAGCCAGTAATATCTGAATCTGCAAATTGGGGTGCGGGGGGAACTGGCCCAGGGGGCTCATCAAACTCAGGGAAGGCTGGTGTGGGACCCCTGAGCAGTGTCTAGGTAACCGGGAGAGATCCCCCCCTTTAGGGGCTGACTCCGCAGAGGGACCCACAGCAACGTTAGAGTCAGGCCTGTGGGGGATTCCTGGCTGTAGCACTTCCAGCTCTGAGATCCTAAACCCTCCCCTTTCTCCTGTGAGGACTGAATGGGAACCCCGGGGCGGGGCGTGTGTGTTGTTATCACTCTTACGGGCAGCCCCCGGCAGCCTTGGCTGAGGCTTGCCTTTCTCTGGCTGGCGGGGAGCAGCTTGGTGGGACCGGCCGTGCTCCACCTCCTTGGATCACCCCAAATAGATGAGATCATATTATCTTCCGGCCCAGTCTGGTAGGCTTCCTGTGATTTCAAGTGGCTCTTCCAGCCTCCTCCTGTATTTATTCATCTATTTACTGAGGCCTGAAGATTTATTTAAAGAGGGAGAGAGCTTTTAATTCCACAATTAAAAGGCTTGAGGTTCTCGTGGAGATAACATTTCAGTGTGAATGGGTTTTAATTAAAATTCAATCAGTCAGTCCCTCAGAAGTAAGAAGGATTAGATAATCTCAGTTTGCCCAGGTGATAAGGGGAGGGGGCTGGGGGTGGGGTGGGGAGCGGAGGGCCCTGGCTGCGTGAAGGGGGGCAGAAGTAACCTACCACAAACCGGAATTTTGCCTGGGGCCTGCCCCATTTACTCTGGCCCAGCTGGAAATCCCCACTTTGCAGAGCTCTTGGGGGTGTGAGAGCCACCCAGGGCTAATGAGGGTTGCTCTTTAGAACAGAACGCTGGCTTTCTTGTGAAAGAGCTTCGTCCCTGGGAAATATGTAAATTGCAGAAACAAAGTATAGCTTAGGGCAAGAAGAAAAAGAGAATACAACACTTTATCAAATAACATCAGTGTTTTGCATAGGATACACCTGAGAACCAACAAAATGTTGTGAGTTTTTTTGATACATATAGGTAATTTTAACCAAAACTTTGCTTTTTTCCTCCTTTGAAATTTGTACACAGCTTCAGGAAACATCTTTTCTCTTTCCACGTATATAAACTTTGTAGTTTCCAAACTCCTGAGTGTGTTGTGTAGCAGTAAGCGTAACTTCTGTCTCTCCGTGGAATCCTGATTTCCACCGAAATGAATTTGCTTCTCAGGACGATCAAAGCATTCCATTTCATTTATCTAATTAACTCTATTTGTGCATTCAGCAGTCTTGTATTGATCTCCTAATATTTGGCAGGTTCTGTGCCAGATACTAGGACAGAAAACTGAAGGGATTCACAGACTTTCAGAGGAGAGATCAAGAAAGAATTGTACTCAGTGAGAAAAGCATTATTTTCTTAAGTTTATTTGTTTATTTTGAGAGAGAAAGAGACTCACAGAGTTGGGGGGGGAGGGGTAGAGAGAGAGGGAGAGAGAATCCCAAGCAGGCTCCATGCTGTCAGAGTAGGGCCCAATGTGGGGCTTGATCCCACGACCCTGGGATCATGACTTGAGCCAAAATTAAGACTCAGACACTTAACCAACTGAGTCACCCAGGCGCTCCAAAGAAGTGCATTATTAGTGATTGTGTGTCACACGTCTTAGGGGAGCCCAGTGGTGGGGGGGGAGTGGGAAAGACTTCACAGAAGAGGGGTACAAACAGCGGAGAGAAGCTCTCAGGTAAAAGTGGCTCAGAATGATCGTCTGGGGAAGAGGAAACAGCAGGCAGAAGACAAAGGAGCCTGACAGCGCAGGCACAGGTGTGACAGAGCGTGGTTCCTGTGAGACAGTGAAGTGTCTGAGAGCGGAAGCCAGAAAGCTTGGTTGGTGCCACCTTATGGGGAGGGGGTCTTTGGGCCAAGCTGAGGAACAGGGACCTTGCGCTGCTGGCACTGAAGAAACCCTGGAAGCGTTTGAGTTGGCAAGTGATGTGACTGGGTCTGTGTTCGAAAGGCCAGCCTAGAGTACTAGGGAGAGAGAGAGCAGGTGGGAGCCTGCTGTCACTGTGGCAGAATTCAGAATGCACTCCTGCTCTGAGTTCTGTTCCTGGGAACGTCTCACGAGTCTGTATTCACACGTATGTGCCAAGATGTATTTACAAGGATGTCTGTTGAGGTGTTGTTTATAATAGAAAAAGACTGGAAACAACCCAAATGTCCACTAGTAGGAGACTGTTTTACGAGTGTAGTACCCATGGTGACTGACTAGCTTGCAGCCTTGTGCTGAATGCGACTGCTCTGTATGTGCTGCTATGGGACAGTCTCTAGGGTAGAGTGTTCGATGGAAAAGCAAGGTGCAGGACAGGGTGTGGAAGATGTCATCATTTGAT